CTGGCCCTGAGGCGTCCAACCCTCTGCTGCGGGCAGGCTGGACGGCCCAGCTGCTTGGAGCCATCCTTGGCAAGTCACACTGAACCTGTCTGTCATGGCACAGGCAAGGAGGGGCGCTAGGTTCCCAACCTGTCTGTCATGTGGCCGCCTTTTCAGGAGGCTCAAAGAGTGGGCGTTTATTTATTGATGTAGCCACGCTTTCAGCACCTCTGGGATACCCCGAAGATTTTACAAAGCACTGTGCTTTTTTCTTTAAATGGTCTAGGGTTTGGTTTTGTTTCCCGTGTTGTCTCTTTGCCGCTTACCAAGGAGGGTAGAATTTTGCTGGTTTGGGAAATATTTTTAAGAAAGAATTAGTGTGTAATTATAGGAAGATATATCTGTAAGTCTGACCAGAACCCATTTATATGTTCTTTGCATTCTTTGCAAGAGTAGGCGTGCATTATTGATCGTTGGTTTTCTTTTCTTAAATGGAAATATCCTAATTGGCCCGATGTAAGATTCAAGTAATCTGATGTAATTAGATCCGGTAGAAGATATATGTCATTTGGCCCGGGATTCACTAACAGCCTCTTTTTGTTTAGCTAATAATTCTTCCATCTCTTTGCTTGCTTTATATGTAGAAGAACAGTCTCTAGGCAAGGGTGAACGTATCTAAACTTCTAAGTCCAATGCCAAGCAGATCACCAAAGGAGAGTGAAGTTTGCCATTACTCAGACATTTGGACATAGTGATCCACAGCTGAAACAGTTTTAGACTTAAAGTCAGGAATCCTAGGTTCTGGCCCTGAGTGTGTGACCTCAGTCACCACTGTACCCCTCAAAGCCTTGATTACCTCCTTTATTTAATAGAGATCAAGTATTTCCCTTCCTGCTTCGCAGAGTAGTTATGTAAATAAAATGCAATGATGTGGGCAAAAGCATAATATCACCTGGAAAGCACTATGCTAGAAAGTCAAAGTGTGTTTTAAACTAGGGTCAGCATATAATTTATCCTCCAAACTGGACCTTTTTTTTTTTTTGTTTTTTGAGAGTAAAAGGAAGAGCTCTTTTAAAAGTTATGCAAGGGAATAGGCATAAACTGGGACTGTCCTAGGCAAACTGAGACAAATGGTCACCTG